ATCTATCTGTACAAGAATTCAACTGAGCTATAGTCTAAACTCCTATTATCCCCCTTAATAACCCCTATAGTAGTCCCCTATATAATCCCCTATATAACCCCCCATTAAGGAGTTTAGACTATAGCTCAACTGGAGGAACTTCTGAGCCCCTCCATCTAAGGCTACGGTCACTAGAAGCTATTAAACAGGAGGCGAGACGACCCCCCTCTAAGATATTCTAAGTTCAGGAAAAGCTAAGGCATGCATAAACAAAATCTATCTCAAAGAGCCGAAGGTTCGAAAGGCCAGCGTTGGCTGCTCTCTTCCGTTCCAGAGATCCACAATTTTCCAGTGGAAGCGTTGCTTTGCGATTTCCACGGGCAATTTGCCGGTGCTGTCTGCTGTGGCATTTGCACCCGCCTCCCTCAAAAGCCGCACAACCTGGAGCAGACCCTTTGCAGAGGCGATCCAAACCGGTGATGCGCCAGTCTGAACCTGGGTTTGGTTAACGTCAGCATGACATTCGAGCAAAGCTTGAGCCATTCGCACATGGCCCCGTGAGGATGCCATCCACAAGGGCGAGGAACCAGTATCGTTCAGGATGTTGGGGTTGGCACCTGCCCGCGCCAAGAGACGGACGATGTCCACATATCCCTGGCGAGCAGCTATCCACAGAGCTGACGTGCCGGAGGCATCCGCAACGTCTACCTCTGCATGGTGGTCCATGAGATATCTTAAAATGTCCTCGTGTCCATTGCATGCTGCAGCCCACACGGGTGTCTTTCCCGTCGCATCGGGACAGTGGATGTTAGCACCGTTAGCGTGCAGCAGCGGGACGATGGATGCACCGCCCCTCGCGGCAGCAATCCATAGCAGGGATGCGCCCATGTTGTTGGCAATCTGCGGGTCAGCTCGCGCAGCCAGCAGGGCATGCGCAACTTGAAAGTGAGATCCATCACACGCCGTCCATAATGCTGTGATGCCCAAGGTGTTGGCAGTGTTTTTGTCAGCACCGGCTGTGAGGAGGAGGTTCATTACACCAAGATGACCGCAACTACATGCGACCCAAAGCGGACACTCCCCTCCGTTGCTTGCAGCATCCCTGTCAGCACCAGCGTCCAGCAGCAAACGACAGATGTCAACACTGCCAACCTGAGCCGCATGAAACAAAGCCGACTTGCCATCTTCATCGCTTTGCAGCACGTCAGCGTTAGCCTCCAGCAGCAACCGAAGGCAAGCCATGCCGCCACGCTGTGAAATCACGCTGCGCAGAGCAATGCTCAGCGCGGTCACCGTCTGGGGATTTGCATGCAAATCCGTGCTTTCTCCCGATCCCAACCGCGCAGCATCAAGCAAGAGGCGGACCACCCCAAGGTGGCCATTTCGGCAGGCAACGCAAAGGGGAGAATCCACTCCATTTGCAACTTCCTTACCCGCACCAGCTGCCAACAACAACTGGACCAAGTCGATGCGACCCATCTGAGCAGCATGCCACAGGGCCGGCTTACCTGCCTCGTCCATCTCGTGTACATTGGCGTCAGCCTCGAGTAGCAACTGGGCACAGCTTGCATTTCCCAGTTTGGTTGCAATGTGCAGAGCCTGGCTGCCACTAAGAAGTCGTTCAGCGTCTGGCTTTGTTGTTTGCTGGCAGTTTGGCTTTGCTGGCTTGCCGCTTTGTGGACTCGTGTCCAGCAACAAAACGCGGACTATCTGAAGGTGGCCGTTGCGGCATGCGATGCACAGAGGATACTCTCCCCCATTGCTGGCCGAATCTTGTCTGGCCCCGGCGTCGTGCAACAAACGAGCAATTTCGACATTGCCCATCTGGGCAGCATGCCATAAAGCCGTTTTGCCATCTTCATCAAGCGATTGCATGTCGGCTGTAGCCTCAAGCAACAGCTGAACACAACCCACACTGCCACATGTAGTTGCGATGTGCAGAGCTTTGTTGTGGCCGGGGGTCAGGCTCAAGTCGGGGTCAAAATGCTGCTCTAACAGCCGTTGCATCTCAAGATGCTGACCACTTTCAGCTGCAATTCGCATGCATTGAAGGTCTCCGCGGGAAGCAGGGACAAATGGTAGCATCACCAACTGCAAGCTGGCTGGGAGAGACACACTAGATAGTGGGTCAGCATCCTGCAGAACCTGGGTCCCGTGCATTAGCTTCTGCCGAAACCTGGAAAGGCCGACAACATGCGACAGAAACAACTTCAATGCCTTCACAGAATCACCATGAGTCTCTTTGATATTAGAGATGTCATCGCAATCTAAGTGGGCAATGGCATCACCGCACAGCTTGTAGATGGCAAGCTCCGTGCTTGGCTTCACTGGCGGTGTCTGCGGTGTCTGCGGCATGTGCGGCATTCCGGGCATGGTGCGCATTGGCACCTCTTGGCCCCCCTAGTTTGAGGCCGATCAGCTGCACAAGTGTTCACGTGACTGCTCTGACTGACTCTGCAGCGTCACGGCAAAGGCAAAGGATGCGAAGGAATCGGCCAGTATGCTGCCGAGTTCTTCGTCACCAAGAAGGCCTAGCACACGCACCGAGGCTATAAGGGTTATAGACTCATAGAGGGATATATAAGGTTCTACAGAGATTTATGGGGGTCTAGAGGGATTTATACGGCTGTGTAGCAAAGCGTGGGGTGTAGGGCATCCCAAATCAGTGCTACCAAACCGTTAACCCTAAACCCTACGCTCTTGACCTTAAACCCTTAACCCTAAATTCTAAGCCCCTAAACCCCTAAACCCTCAAACCCCCTAAACCCCTGAAACCCCTAAACCCTCAACCCCCCAAAACTCCTTAGACCCCTAAACCCTCAAACCTT